GGCTTGCTCAGACACTATCCTCTTTGTCCTTAGCACAGCTTTGTTTCACAGAAGGCTCAATTTGACCCATAGCGAATGTACAAAATTTTATGGCGTGGGAGGAATAAAGGTTTAATTGACGTGGGATTAGTCTGGCTTTTATTACTAATCATTGGAGAAGCCAGAAGTACTTTATGTAGGTCATCCCAAACAAGACTCAGTGAATGCTTTTCCCTCCCTACATCATCATCTGCTTTGTTTATGCCATGCTAAAGGCAACAGTTAATTCACACACTTTGAAAGTGCTAAATGCTGCAATCCAAATTGCCTACTGGTGGGAACTGGGACAGCTGCACAGGAGGAAATGAAGCCGCTGCAGTTTATAACCAGATTATAGTTTCATCCTGGGCTGATGTTCGTTTTCATCTCGGTGGCTAAACTGAGTTGATACTGTGCTATGAATCCTAACTGCGCACACCTGGGAGAAGGAAAGATGATCGGAAAGTTGAAAGTTTTCATCTAAGCTACTCAGTTCCAGTTGCATTAGCGTGACATTGAGTGAGTGAGTGATGTAACCCTAGCGTCGTCTCACCTCACCTTAAACACTTGGTGAGAGATGCCTACATTAGTGTTTTTATCCCCTTCCCCAAGATCTAAATAGCCTCTAGACACAAAACATTGTTTGGTGGTGGTTTTTTTAAATATCACTAATCCCTAAGAAAATATTTCTGATCCTGGATTTTCGATTGATCTCACCTGAGATGAAGTCCTGTAGAGTTTGGTGGGAAGTAAATTGCTTCCGTGACACAGCAGTTGAAAAAAAATGAAGCCAATTGCAAATTTGTTTATGCTAGGAACAGCCTTAGGAAGGAAGATTTATGAGCAGAGTAACCAGTTCACTGGTGAAAAGTACATGTTGTGTGTCGTGTATCGTATGGGTCTCCCATATATCACATGGATAGAAAACAGCACCTCATCTCATACAAATGTATTAGTCAGACAAGTAGATCTGGTAAATCATGACGATTTATGGTAGACTTGAATACTTCTTGGCCTGCCTCTTCCTCTCTGGCCAGCCTAGCTTCAAAGACTACTTTTTCTGAGATGAAGTCTGACCACCTGCCACAGCTGGTTGCTCAGAGAAGTAACTTGGCATTTTTTTTTTTTTAATGTATTTGTCTATTTTGGCATTATGCCTGTCATGGCTGCCACTTTTATTTCTGAAACAAGTAACATGATGCTAATGAAAGCACTTGTTTCCCACTGCAGTATTTCCTAAGAGAACATCTACCATACACCGTCTGAAAAGAATACATTTTGCAACAGTGAGAGTGTTTCCTAGAGGTGACATTTCCCACATGCTCAGTGGCAAGTAGTCTCAGCGTTGAAAATCTTGTAGAAACAGTGAATCTTATGCTAAGCAGGTACTCGCTTATGAGAATACATGTTGTCACATTATGGTTGAGAAGTCTTTTCTATATTAGGCATATTGTTATAAGCATAATAGAGGGGACCATAATGAGGATGCCATCTTTTTATTAAATTCAGCTGATAAATTCAGGTCCTCATTCTGATGGTGCACTGTGTCTGAATAAGCATCTGTTTACGTAGATCTGTCAGCATTCCCATTATAAACCCATCTTTCCAAGAAGACATAATGTGGGAGCAAACCTTAAACCAAGCTATAAGTTCTTTGTCTGTAAATAATGGATCCACGCAATTTGCATGCTGTAGATAAGATTATATCGTTAAACAAATTTTATGTGACCATGTAACTGTAAAATAACATGACGTAACTCAGAAAGAGATAAATTTAAGGACATATATGTGTCTATCTTAGACAGTTCCCTGTGTTTTGAATGTCAGGCATCTTTAACATTCCTCATTTTAAATATGTGTGTAAAAAATGGCATATGACTATGTGCAATATGTATTTATATGTTGTAATGTGTCTCTGTCAAAAAGAGAAAGCAGCCTTTATATGTATATGTGATACTGGAGCACAGGTGTCTGAATGTATATGTGAACAAGGGGAACAAAAAAAGTGAGAGAGAGAAAAGGGCTCTTAAACTGCATAAAACTATGCAGCACCCAGCTGTTGCTTCTAATAATTTGTTCATGTCATGCCCTTAGCTTCAGTGAACTTATGTTAGCTTAGGAGTTGTGCTGGACCAAAGCCAGAGTGCCTAGCATGTCCATCATTGCTTCCAGCAGGAGAGGAGTTTTCACATGGATAATCACATGCTCTTGCATTCCAGTGCCTGTTGCCTCACCGCTGCAGGATAGGCTCATCCTTAATGCAGACTGCTTCCCACACCCACAGTGACAGTGCCACAGGCCAAATCACAGCCTGCCCTGTGCTGGCCGTCCTACCTGAAGGAACACACCTCACGTAAGCTCTGTCAGCCCCTAAGGCTGCCTGACGGTCGGTATGAGCAGGCAGGCTTTGCACAAGCACTCCTGCAAAGCGCTGATGGAGCTGTGTGTCTGGTCCTGCCAAGTGATGCCCACGTATTAATTAGCCTGGGCTTCCCCCCCCGGCAGCCTGCTTGCACTCGGGTGGGAGGTGGCGGGGGCAGAGGCTGGGGGGGACACTCGGAGCACACCATGCCCACAGGCCTGCTGGGGACTGCTCTCCCTCCAAGGGGCATGGACACATCTCATCTCTTCTGTTGGGTCCCAGCACTACATACAGTCCTGAGCACGAGTCAGGGGCAGTGCCAGGGAGAACCTGGCGGACGATTAGCATAGCTGCAGGCTCGGAAAATGACGGCAGAGACAAAATCTTGACCATGCAAAATGCAGCAGAAAGAGCAAGATTGACCTCTCCCTGTAGCATAAGGGCTCTTCTGCTGTTTGCTGCTCTCCTTCACCTCCGTCGCCAGCATTGTGACTTGGGGAGTTTCACCATCAAAATACTGGGGCCTCTGAGAAGCGCTCTCCTCCTCTTCCCCCAGCCAGGGTTCTGTAGTGTGCAAAGCCATAATTTAGCCCCAGATGTTATTAACTCATAATTAAGTCTTTATATCCTCTTAGCTCGCAACCGGAATGTAATCTGATAATCATTCAGTGAGTGCCTGGTTAATAGCTGCTGTGCAATTATAAACTTCTAGCCTGGTCATTTGTACATACAACAGGATGGTAAGGTACCCCTGAAATGTGCTTTGCTCTTGTTTTAACCATTTAAATTTCAATCATCTCCTTGATAATTCTGTTAAGGACATGCCAGTGGCTCTTTTCAAGGAAGAAACAGAAAGATACAATATTCTTTCTAGTCATTGTAAATATTGGGTTTAATTCAAATATTGTTTCAATGTGATTTGGAAAATAAAAGACAGGCTCGGCTGAATGATGATTTGTAAAGCAGAATGAATGAAACTCCAAGAATGCATAAAAGAACTCCTGATTTCTATTCCACCAAAAGAGATCTTGATTTCAATAGAAGTTTTGCCTGAGTAAAGATTTGTCAAGATTCAGACTCTCATCTTTCTAACAGCAGTCTCTCTTGAGGGATGTTTTAAGATCTGTGCAGAACAATGGCACAGAAGAATGAGAGCCTGATCCAAAACTCATTGAAATCAAAGGAGGTATTTCAATTATTCAAATGAAGATTATAGAGTGAGGTACAGGAAAATACCAGGAATTATTCCATCAGCCTTCACAGGAAAACATGCAGCTGTAAGCATTATTGTTGATTGCAACCATTATGCTTATAGTTCCAAGAACTACAGTTCTTCTTCTTAACACAGTATTAGAACAAGAAATACCTATCTTTCACATTTTTTTTTTCTTGAAGATGGTGAAACTATTACTTTAAATCATTTTGAACAGGACAAAAAGAAAAGATTTTTAAATCTAAATGAAACAGCTTTGAAAATTCCTATAAAATTAAGATTTTTATTATGTACTGATAAATATGCAATCATACTCTTCTTATAGGATGCTTTTATGAAATAAAATGTTGATACCTTTATTAATAACCTACATTTTAGAGCAACACAAATGGATCACTCATGTTAAGACCATATACAATTTTCATCATCATTATATTTTGTAGTACATTTTACAGCAAGTACTACTGATTTTTCTTTTTAAATGAATGTATTTTAAGTAATCTAGCCAGATGTTTGTGCAGGGATGGAATTGGTCAGTTGCATAGACATTTGGTCAGTTTTTCTCTTCCTCCTTTCCCCAGAGCTAAATTTTTATTCTCTTAAAGCTACATGTCTAAGTGACTTGGGATTGGATTGCTTTGAGATACCCATTTTGACTTTGGAGGGGTTTGGTTTCCAAGGGAGCCAAAAAAATACCTGTTCTATGCTAATCTACCATCCTTTGAATTTCTCAAACTAAGTATCCAGAAACATAAATCCCATTAAAAGTGCAGGCTTAATTCTGGCACCTCTGCAACTGAAAGAATATTTTCATTGCAAAATTGGAACTGGTGCAGGTACATACATCTCAAGAGATGGAATAATGATCAGTTAAAGGTGTTACTTTTCCAGCTGTCTGTCCATGCTGCTAGCCACAGTTACTGTTCTCCAACAGAGGCAGCAGAATGGGAATTGCTCAGTCCAGCACGTACAAGCTTAATCTGATGCTGAGTCTTGTTTACTGGACCTGTATGTCTACAAGTAATTTGAAACACTGCTTCTAATAAGGAATGACATTATGCATCACACTGGAGCATTAACTCTGAAACTTGGCCATTATTAAATTTGTGATTGTTCACTGTTTCATGGCTAGTCTGGGTGTTGAAAGTGTGTAACACAGATAATATATACAATATATAAACCATAATACAGTGGTCTGTCTGCCTTATCAATTTACTTTACAAGTGCTTCCTTCTAATCTCTTGTCCAGTGGCTTGCAGGAGCGAGGCTTGGGAAAACCCTGCTACTCTTGACGTTCCACTTCCACTCCACATTGCATCACTCTGCGAGCTCCCAACCTCCTCATTCTCTCTGATTTGCTAAAATAATTAAAAAGAACTTCTCTTTACATCCACTCTTTCTTTACAGCTCCAGAAACAGCTGTCTGAGCTGGACGAGGATGACTTATGCTATGAATTTCGTCGAGAGCGTTTCACCGTCCATCGCACCCATTTGTATTTTCTACATTACGAATACGAGCCTGCTTCAGACAATACCGATGTGACACTGGTGGCTCAACTTTCAATGGACAGGTAGGGAAAACCTCTTGTTCATCTGGAAGCGTGGTACAATGGATATTTTCTTACAGATAAATCCAACTATGTAATGCTTTGGGGAGAGAAAAAACTCACTTTTTTAGAAACTTGGATGTCATACTGTAAGACCTTTCTTGAATTAGGAATAGCACGTGTAGATACCACACGTGCATCCAGACTTCAGTTCTGCAGTGCATACAGGAGTGTGGGTAGAGTTCATGAGAGGCTGCACACTGGAACTGCAGGAGTTGTTACTTGTCAGGATTGTCAGGCGTTATTAGTTTATGGAGTTTTTCAGCAGCTTAGAAAAAACAATAAATGTTTCTAATAGACTTAGGAAAGCAGTTGTACCTGACCAGGTTTTTACACACATTAGACAATGTCTGTCCAGTAAGATTCCTCATTAGTCAATGTTAGTTTTGCTTTCATTGGCATTTTCCTTACAGAAGATTTCAGTTAGTCATTTTTCTTATAGTGAAAATCAAAACTCAACATTTTATTTAAATTCCTAATTTGAAAATAAAACTTTTTTTTTTATTTATTTGCTAATGTGAAATAAAAAAACCTCCTTTTGAGAGCAGTCATTGCATTTTTATACAAATGTTGATTTTCAGAATAACATTTCCCATTTAACTCTTTTCAACTTTCAGTTCTGATGTAAAGTGGAATTTAACTGGTATTTCATTTGGGAAAAAAAAAATCCATTTTGTGACAAGTTCCACCTGCACCTTCTTGATTGCCACCATTGCAATTGTTGATTTTCAGAAGCTCTGAAAGTGCAGTCCAGATCAGCCAGCTTTGTGAAATATTGTCAGACTCTTTTTATCTCCTGCTTCTCAGTTCGAATCTAGTCCAAATTTGGTAGTTACTGCTATCAGAGTGGGTTACAAAACAGGTCAGAACTCCTTGAATATTATCCAGAAAGTGGTATTTCATTTAGCAGAGCACACACAGAATACAACATGACCCATGAATACCACTACTGCTACACTAGTGGAAGGTCAGCAGCATTCCAGGGGAGCCAGAGGAATTCAGATCAACAAAACGTTTACAGCCTGTTTTAAAAATAAAGACAATGGAATGAGGGCTATTCTGTTTCACTAGTGCCTCAGCACTGCATCCTGCACATTGTGTTATGATTTGCTATGTGCATCAGTATCTGTTCTATTGATTTTTAATTGAGGAAACATTTCTTAAGTGTTCACAAACCTTTGAGTAAAAAACTAAAGAAATAAATTAAGCCAGATCCTGAGTGACTGCCACAGTAAATTAGTAAAGCTGATATGTGCACATGGTATATTTTCCCCCCAGAATTTAATTCAAAAGAATGATCTGGGGCTCAGTGCTGATTCACTGGCACTGATGCAAAGTCTGAGCATCTGTTTCCCTTTCTGGATCCTCACTGGGGCACATGTTTTTATTGATAGACAGAACCACACATTTTTATTCAGGAAGAACAGCCCTCCTGATGCTGTGCAGGAAAAATCTTCCCTATTTCGTTGGTGTGTTGGTATAAATTATTGATTCGAGTTGGAAATACTTTCTTTCAGATAAAATCAATAAATAATATCATACCAAAGAACTGTTTAGCTGCTTTGTTTTCTTTCACATCTTTCAGGTACTGCCTTATTTTTTTTTTTGTATCTTCTTTAAACCACTTTTATTAAACTCCTCCAGCGTAGCTGTAGACATTTAAGAATAGTGTCTCAGATGTAAGATGACATGTACGTAAGCAGTGTGCTATACGCTACCTTCCTGCATTGTTCTTTCAGATGATCATCCAAGATGATGAAAGGCAAAAAAGCAACTTGCAGTGTCTCCAATTAGAGTTCTGTTGGAAATGAGACTGACGTGACTATCACGACAGGATGATGTTTGCCTGTGCTATAGGCTTGGGGAATGGAAGAGCGGGGTGCAGTTTAGAAGCTAACATCAATGTCTTTAGATAGAAGCTTTGAGACAGGCTTCATTCAGTTTTGTTCATTGTTGGTTAGTTGTCATCTTTTATACTGATGGGACATTTTCTTGGATAATGGTACCACTGTGGTTTTCATGCATGTGTTTTGGCTAGGCAGCCTTTTTAAAGGCATATGTGCCTGGGGTTCAAAAATTAGAGTGGGAGTTACAACAATGTGAAATCAGGATGTGGACAAGGAAAGAGATGATTAACATTATACCGTTTGAAGTCTGGGTGAGAATGAATTGTAAATTGGTTGAGTATTCTTAAGAAGAAAAGTGAAAATGAAGAATCTCACAAAACAATTGAATTCCAGCAAAATTCACTTGACTGTAACAGACCTTTAAAAAATTTACCAACTAAACGATGACCTCATTATTATGCAGTACAGCAGTATATTTATTTTCTCTAGAGTCCTTAAGAGAATGCATTCCACAAGACCACTAACAAAACCAAAATAACTTAGTCATGTTGTGCTTAGAAACTTGTAATTCTAAGTTTTATGGTCAGAGGAGACTATTGTAACAATTTACAGAGAGCAGATTGTGGAGCATCACCCAGCAGTCCTGTATCAAAATCATGGAAGTGGAACCTGTCAGTGAGAATGATGCAGCAAAATGGAGTATTCTGAAGGGCACTAAGCTGTCCAACTGGAAATTTATACCAGCAAAACCCAGTTCCCACTTAACTATCATGAAAAGCTTTGCAGGCATTATCAGGTGTGCCGTTTAAATAAGTTATGTATGCCATTTGTCCACTGCGTGGAGTCCTTGAAAGGCATTTTTCTGCATTTCTTGCTAGGTGAGTATTCAATTTTTAAAAGGCTGCCCTATATCTGAGTGCTGATGAATTGGAGTCTCCTGATTAATAGGTTTCCACTATGTTGGAAAAAGACAAAAAAAAAAAAAAGTATTTTTCTCTATTTATTGTTTGTACAGTCAAAACCCTAAAGTCTTCACATGCTTTTTAGATCTTTTTTATCAATTTGTGTTTCTAATTCAGCTGTATGTTTCAGGCTGATAATAACCTTTGTTTCAATAATAGATAAAAAGAAAATAATGTACCAGGTGTGCAGTAGTAGAGGTAATGTCTCATATCTAAGAAAAAAAATATTATATTGTCTTGGATGTCATCATTCAGATCTTGGATGATCATTCAGAAAAAGCTATTAATGTTATATCAGAATTTGTGTTGGTATGAGTATATCAACACTTTCTGCTGCAAAGCTTAGGGAGATAGTAGGAGGGGGAATTTATTTTCTCTGATTATGATGATGCAGGAAAGTTTTCTTGTGTTCTGTATAAATATTAATAGGAAAAATCTTGTAATGTGGATTGGGAAGGGAGAAAAGATAATCATGTTGCATAGTCTACTCTTCCTAATTTTTAATAGAATATCTGGCTAGGCTGCATAGGTTCATTTCCCTTTGTATTAACTGAAGAGGGTTTGTAATCAGTCCTTGCTGTATTTTTGGATGGCATATCTTAATCTCTAGGCAATTCACTATAAATTACCCAAAGTGCTTAAACGATTTTGACCAGCCTGGGTTTGATTTACATTTGTGTATGAAATCTTTTGTTGTCATTTTCATCAATAGTATTGTAACTGCTGGAAGTTTTAAAAAATATACATCAATACAACCTGTTTCAAGAATGATTTAATGAACTTTGAGATACTGCTAAAAAATACACAAATCACCGCTTTAAATTATGGTTTTGTCTGAAATGTTCTTTTGATACTCCACAGCGATGCCATGTCTCTCCCTCCTTCTCTCCTTACTCCTTACACATAGTAAATCCCATTTCAGTTGATGTGTCATCCTTTTGCCCTTTCCCTGACAGTGGGTTTTCTTCTAGTCAATGCAAATGTTCAGATAAGTCAGTATTCCCTTGACCTATCACTTTTAACAGCTTTTAAGATCTGACTAGCTGCCTTGCAGAAATATGGGGAAGGTTTTCCTAAACAGGGGATAAAATGATCTGTGGGTCTGTACACCTTTCTCCTCCACAAGCTTGTTGACGAGCACTGCAGTATGTTAGTGTGTGATAACAGCTTGACCTGATATGAGACCCCCTTATCCTGTAAGTAGATCCAAATGGACAGATCCCTGCAACTGCTCAAAGCTCCCATCAGATGAAGTCCCACTGGCCATGTGGGTTTTCCTGCAGCATCAGTGCTTTAGGCAGGAAGGATGGTGTTGATTTCACCTAGCTTTAGGTATCAGAGTTGTGGATGTGTGTATCTGACCTAAGGCCATCTTAGGCTGCTTTGTATTCAGTGAAGTAGGCATATCTTGGGTGCAGTCCATCTGTCCAGAAAGAGACATCAACTTAGATGAGATGAATTGTGCTGTGGAAATATTTATCGCTTTCCACAGCATATAAAGTGACCCCAATCCGTCTCACTTAGAGACAGATATCTGCATTTGATCAGATGAACCCAGGCAAAGATTCCCAGACAGAGAGACAGCCTTTTCTTATTCTCACCCTTCCTCTTTCAGGCTCCAGATGCTTGAAGCCATCTGCAAACACTGGGAAGGTCCAATCAGCCTGGCACTCTACCTTTCCGATGCAGAAGCCCAGCAATTTCTGCGCTATGCCCAGGGCTCGGAAGTACTGATGAGCCGCCACAACGTCGGCTACCATATTGTGTACAAGGAGGGCCAGTTCTATCCTGTGAATCTGCTAAGGAATGTGGCCATGAAGCATATCAGCACACCATACATGTTTCTCTCCGACATTGACTTCTTGCCCATGTATGGACTCTACGAGTACCTCAGGTAAATGGACGGTGAAGGGATTGCCACTGTCACCCATGTTTTCAGCCCCTCCACACCCCACTGCTCTCACATATTCCCAAGGCAATGCAGTTTGAGCAGATCTGAAAGAGACAGCTTATAGGTGTTTAAGGTATGATAATGCCCAGCAAGGCATGAGAATTTCTAGGGTAGAGGAAGGGGCTGTAACTGGAAGTGAAGCAATACAGTTATGAAATAAAAAACTCAGATCTGAATGTGAGCCCCATTAGCTGTCAGGATAATTCCCTCAGAGCAGCAAAGTATCAATTTGAAAATTGAACTGGACTAAGTATTATTAAATGTGCAAGAACATCCTGTATCAGCAGAGATGTGAACGGGGCAATTTCCCTAAACATCTCTGGTTCTTACTGTCAGTGACAGAAAAAACATGCAAAGCATTACTGAACTTGGTGTCCCTGTGACACACTCTTAATCCAGTCTTGTATCTTGGAAAGAGAGCGATAGTCTAACCAGCTCAAAAATATGACTGCAACGCCAGCACCTGTCAAGGCAAAATAATTAGTATAACGAAACTGGGAAAAGTAACCTCAGTGTGTATTGTATCGTAATGAACATGAACAGGTTGGGCTGAGCAAACTACAGACCTCTGATCCATTAACTGAGCGTTTTTTAATAAAGACCTTTTTCCCCTGCAGAGGCTGGTCATCTGAGGCCAAAGCATAGAGCAAGGAGGACACCCTGTGGCCAGACAGGAGGATTTCAATTCCTTAGTCCTGACCAGTTTTGCTTTTCATCTCTGTTCTAATTTGGTAAAAGTTGATCAAAGTGTTCCAGTGAGGGTCTGCCTGTAGGTGATCCCTTTCAGTCCATAAGCCCGGGGTTTTGGAGTGTAGAGGGAAATATACCTTCTGGTATCGTAGACTTATGAAGGAATTCCTTTGTTTCAGGCTTAACAATTCAGTAAGTATCTTCTCACTTCACCCTCATGTGGATAATTAACTGCCTTTTTCAATTTCTGTGTCCATGTATGGGACAAAATTCACTCTTCAGGGGGACGGAACACCTCTCTTATAAAGAAAGGCTGAGAGAGTTGGGGTTGATCAGCTTGGAAAAGAGAAGGCTCTGGGGAGACCTTACTGCGGCCTTTCAGTACTTACAGGGGGTTTATAAGAAAGATGGGGACAAACATTTTATCAGGGTCTGTTGCGATAGGACAAGGGGTAGTGGTTTTAAACCAAAAGAGATTTAGTAGATTTAGACTCGATATAAGGAAAACATTTTTTACAGTGAGGATGGTGAAACACTGGAACAATTTACCCAGAGAGGTGGTAGATGCCTCAACCTTAGAAACATTGAAGGTCAGGTTGGACGGGGCTCTGAGCAACCTGATGTAGCTGAAGCTGTCCCTGCTCATTGCAGGGGGCAGTTGGACTAGATGACCTTTAAAGGCCCCTTCCAACCCAAAATATTCTGTGGTTCTATGGCTTTTAAGACACTGGATTTCAATATTGTTGAAGTTTTATCGCACTGTGTCAGTTTGTTACCCATTTATTTTAGGGATGTTTCTTTTTGACTTGTGGTATGAGAACTTCAAAATAATTCTATCCCTTGCACACATTAGCTGTCTCAAGATACAGTTGTTGTTAGCTTCTCTATTCTTTGACATTAGTGTTTCATACTGTTACATTTCTTCAGATCAATGCTGGACACAATAAGGATAGCAGCTGTTGATACTGGCATGTAGTACTAAAAAAAGCAACTTGCTACTCTATGCTGCTTCGTAGTGCATTGATGGGAGCCAGCACTGAAAGGAAGAAGAAAGAAGACAGAATGATGTACTGCAATTTACCTGAGATACTACAAACATAGAAATAATTCTTATATGGTGATAATGTATTATAGAACTAAATGCACAGTGATGCCACCCATTGGTGCTGTTTCAGAAAAAAAAAAAAAAAAAAAACAACAGCTTCACACTGAAAGCTGTTGCATCCAAGACCTTGTGTTACTTTATCAGCCTTTTGTGAGGCCTGTACCACCTTAACTCTGACTATGAGTCTCCGTTGCGTGGGAATATCAAAATTGCTAATCTGCTGTTACCAGCTCTTTATAAAGGGATTGGATTTTTTTGCATGCGGACTAGAGGCTTTTGTTGCTTTTTCAATAATGATTTTTCTGAGCAAAATAGCAGGGAGTTGCAGGGAGATTATTTTAAGTACCGATCTTTCTGCATTGACTGTTCCTACTGCCTCTGCAAGTAGCTGATTAGTGCTATCTATCTGAATGGGAGTGATTGTTTGTTAGAAAGATGTACAAACATTTTCATCTTCATTTCCTCAGATAGAACAACCATAAGCAAATAGAAGTAGTGTGGTGTTTCAGGCATCATTTTGTACAGGATGAGCCACACGGCTCCTTCTCACTGTGAGTTTGCCAATTTACATATATTGTATATTGTGTCTCTACAGACTATATATTCTTAGAAACATTTTCAGTATATTTTGAAGGTGTTATATGTGAAAAGTTATGGCCAGTTCTGAAGGAGAAAGTGATGGAGCTGATGGTTACCGACCCTCTAGGTATCTCTTGCTAGCACTTACATTTGTGCTAATTGAGCTTTTTCATGAATGCTAAGCAAGACCATTTCAATGCTTTTAATCTCCATCAAACCTCCTTTTTGTCCTACCTTATTCTTCTGTGAACTACAAAAGGAAAGAAATGTATCCTTTAAATATATCCTGTTTATGAAACTCAGACACTTTCATGGTCTGTGCCGAGTCAACCTTTGTCACCTTCCCTCATTGGTTACTGAGGTCATCTCGTCATTGCCCCAGAGGTAAAGGCTCTTTCTGGTTGTTACAAGTGAGGTGTGTGGGTCATCCTAAAGGTTCTTCTAACATAAAATAACTAGACAGGCTGCTTACCTACAGTTCTCACAGCTAGCATTAAAGTTCTTTCGTGGCACATTTGTCTAAAATATGCCCTTCGCTTCCAGTGACACATTTAGCATGAATTGGGACCTGGCATCCAATCTCTACTCACAGGTTTTATACCTGTCCTCCAACATGAGTTGTGAATTATTTCTGGTTGTTTTTCAGCATCTCAGCAAGAGACACACTTCATGTTGTCTATTGGTTTTTATTTGCTGTATGCCTTTGTAGGCTATGCATTTATTGCTTTTCCATAGAGGAAGAGTATTCTAATGAATATAACAGTGGACAGACAACGCTCCAGTTCTCCAGTTCTTACCACAAACTGTAACTGCTGCATTTGTTCATCTCAGACTAACCACTTACCGAGTCCTGATGGTGGAAGCTAATTTGAATTAATAGACTTTTTTTTTTCTGAATCCAGTGCTTTAGGATTAGGTTTCTAATCTTTCTGTGTCTGATCTTCTATATCCTCCAGAAATAGAAGGGATATTACTATCTGCCCCCATGAGGATAAGAATTCTGTGTAAATTTTTGGAAAGGACTATGGAGATGGAAAGACTGATATCAGCATGCTGGAGTTCATTCAGCATGTGAGGAGCGTCTTGTAATTTAAGATTCATTTCTTCCATGCTTTTCAAAAAATAGGGTTGATTAGTAGTTTTAGAAATTTAACCCAACCTTCGCTGTGTCAGAATGACATACATCAGGTCTGAACACAAAGATGCCTGGGAAACGGTTTCCTGGACAACACTAGCAAAGAGAAAGCTCTTCATAAAATCATATATCCTTATTTTGGGGTTTGGGAAAAAGGATAGATAAAGGAAAATGGGTACCAAATCGATCTTACTGAATCCAGAAAATCAACCCTCATAAAGATAGTGCAGGAATTAAACAGTTTACCCAGTGCTAGTTTGCAAAATAACCAGATGTATTCCCTACATTATATTCCACATACCTTGCAGCACCAACAGTGAAAATTTTCCTATTCCAAGTATCACAGAACCAGTCAACCAGCAGATGGTACCTCCACTCAAAACAGGAAAAAAAGCCACCCCACAGAAGAAGAAAAGCAGATTTGCTTCTAATAAGAAGAAGTTAGATTTTCAGCTGGTTGTCTGAGGAGCAGACCAACAGCCAAGCTATCAGAAGAAAATGGAAGGTGTTTTTTTTCTCTACCAAATCCTCCCTGCCATTATCACAATTTACATGGCCTCTGTTGTCCTTTGTCACTCAAGTTCAACACCTGGATGTCAGCACTGATTCTGTCTTCCCCTTACATTAGTCCTTTATGTCATCTAGTCCATATCAAAGGCAGGCTATTCTACTCAGAGGTCAGTGCTGCTGGACTTCTTGACTGAGCAGGTCTCAACCCCCAGCTCAGTTATGAGGAACCTCTCCACTCTGACCTTACGAACATGCACCTTAGATGCTCGCATATCTCTTGAAAATATTTCTGCATAGATTATCTCACTATTTTATTTCACTCTTGAAGTACCTCCACCAGTTCTCTGTATTGGACTGTATCCACTACAAGCATCTCGTTTTCAGACCTCTGCTTATCTCCACTTACCTAACTTTTCATGTTGGCCTTTGACCATGCAAGTGATTTCAGCCTCTTGTATCAGTTTGTTCCCTCTGTCTTTTGGTTTTCTTCATGAAGGTACTGTCATCTATTCCTTCTAACAGTTCTGCCATTGACAGCTATGCTAGATTTGCAGGTGACAAGAGTAGGGAGTGTGCAGAAAGGATTATTGATATCCACATCCTTTTTGTGCTTGTATCCCATATCTTACAAAATGAGTCAAGTTCAACACTAGTTTCAACACAGCTTATTCTGACAGTCTGTCCTGGGTTGAGTGAGTGGTGGAGTTTTTTGGTGGCAGGGGAGGGGGCTATCGGGGCGGCCCCCTGTGAGAAGCTTCTCGAAGCTCCCCCAGCTCCAAGTCAGCTCCACTTCTGCACCAAAACTGAGCCAATCGGCTGCACCTCTGCGATAACGTATTTAAGAAGGGACGTGGTGAGGAGCAGTGGGACTGGTGAGGAGGAGTTGCTGCAGCTGCGTGAACACCAAGGTCAGTGGAGGAACGGAGGAAGAAAGGAGGGGGGAGGTGTGCCGGAGCAGAGACCCCCCTGTATCCTGTGGGGAGACGGCAGGGCGGCCCCCCCTGCCACCCATGGAGATCTGTGGTGGAGCAGACTGATTCATGGCCTGTGGTTTCCGCCTGGTTGGTCAAGGTGTCTGTGCCTGAAGAAGGCCAGGGTCTTGTGGGAAAAGGCAGCCCCCGCTGCTGTAATTCAGCACTGGGAGGATTGCAGCATGTGGGGGAGTCCCACGCCGGAGCAGCTCAGGAAGGGCTGCAGCCGTGGGAGGGAATCCAGTCGGAGAAAGTTGGTGACCCACGACGGAGCAGTGTGGGGAACGCTGCGGCCCATGGGAGGGACTCACATCAGAGAAAGTTTGTGGAGGACTGTCTCCTGTGAGAGGGGGACCATGATGGAGCAGGGGGAAGAAGTTCCAGAAGCTCCCCCCACCAAAGATGGCAGAAGCAGCAGCCCTGACTGCACCCCACATTCCCTGCCCCTGTGCCACTGGGGGAGGAGGTAGAGATATCGGGAGCAGAGCTGAGCCCGGGAAGAAGGGAGGGGTGGGGGAAGGTGTTCTCAAGATGTGGCAATGCTTCTCACTGTCTTACTCTGTTATGTGTTGTTAGTGTCTGTAATAAATGTATATTCTTTTTTTTCTTGCCTTGATGAGTCTGCCTTTTGCCTGTGACCATAATGGGTGATTTTCCCCTCCTGATCCTGTCTCGAATCCCAAGCCTGGCTTATTTGTCCCTTCTCATTGCTGGGAGAGAAGGGATGTGAGCTGCGTGGTGCTCAGCTGCTCTCTGAGCTCAAACCATGACATAGTCTCTGCCGTTACCCTTGCTTGATACCTATACCTACTTCAGCTTTGTTCAGCTTCAGACTGTGAACTTTGGTGGGCAGGATTGTCTCCTACTTTTGACAGGGCCAAGCACAGCAAGACCCTGATGTTCGCCTGGGACTTTTGAGCTCTCCATCAAAGAAAGAGATAGTAACAGCCATAAATGGAAGCTGCTGTTCCCCGGCAGAGCCCAAAGGATGATCATTACTCACTGCAAACGTTACCTGCTCCTTCCTAGAACTGAATCCCCAAAGCTGTACCATTGAAGACATAGATTGCACAGAGTCGAGAAAGCCTGAAATGTTGGAAGAGAAACTATGTTAGTGTCCCCTGCTCTCAGAGAAGGTGTGAAGGGAAAAAGCATTAAGAGCATCATAGAGACTAGAAGCTGGTACTGATCAACAATTCTGGAAGATCATCGAGGCTGATTGTGAAGGAGTCATCTATTTACATGCCGATATCGTGGCCATTAGTGATGGTGAGGGAGAAGCTAGTGAAGAAAGTACAAAAACATTGCAAAAAGATGCTGTTAAAATCCTTCAGTTGTGGAAAGCTCACTGGAACGTGTCAGGGGTTCTTTAAACAATGCAAACTTTGCAGTGAGGCACTAAGAACAGATTTCTTTTTATAGAACAGGCCTACAGGGTGGTGTGAATTCTCTAAAATTCAGATTTTATTAAATAGCCCTGCTCTTCTTTTTCTCTGATGGCAATATAAATGAATTCTAGGTATTCTGGGCCTAGAGAAGTGGTTTGTTTGGTTCTTCTGTTATTATGACAGCGATCCAAATTCCTTCATTTTATAAGGCTGTAGAGAGTTTGCTGCTTGTCAACATTGTCCTTGATTGCTTGTTGCAGCAACATAAAAGTCAGGACAGTGAATCCTCTTAAGGGGAACTGACTTTGACAGGGAGAGAGAGGCATATTTCTCATATGAAATATGAAGATAATGAAAAGAAAATCGAGACAGAGTTATTTCTAATGACAAGCATAGACAGATTCAGTTTGGGGATGGAAAAAAAAAGTTATTTTTCTTTGGGTTTTAGTTTGTTAGGAAGAAGAAACTGAATACCTCTGGCAGGCAGGACGTAAGGTTGCTAAGCTGTTGCTCTCCTGCGGCAGTCATCCTCAGGCCCCTGGAGAAGGTCTGTACTGTGCAAAATGCAGTATGTGCACACACTCACGCACTGAAACAGTTTCTGCACTAAACAGCTTGCAGAAAAAGAAGGGAAAAAGCGAGGTATCTCAGGGTATCCAGTGCACAGCTCTTCTCTGCAGAAAAGAGCCTCTTTGCCCTACCTAATCACAAATGAGCTCCTATCTCTAGGCACTACCATGGGGATGATTAACAATACTCAAAAAAAAAAAAAAAAAAAAACAAAACAAAAAAAAAAACCAACCTGCTAATGTACAGTTTTGCTGATTTTCACCATGTACTGTTGCAGTAGATCTTTGCTTGCCTCGAACAAAGACCAACCACCATGGCAACAGTGTTCTTGAGAGCAAATATCTGGTCCGTAATGGTGTTAAGGTAACACTCACCTTGCAGGACACACAAAGCTCTAAAGCAGAGATAAAAAGCAAGATGGCACAACCTAGCACAGAGAATAGCTAGGCTGAAGTGCAACCAAACTTTCCAGCTCCTCGGCTTGTAAAGTCCCACTGAGTCCTGGATAAATCCAATTTTTTTAGAACTGCCACTGATTGGACAGCTCTTTCCCATATATGTAGTAACATTCAACTATTCAGCTCTTAAAGGGGTGGTCAGTTGGCCATGCTCAGAGTGCTAGTTCAGCTCTGTGCACCCCGGGACATGCAGGGCAGCATTGATCAGTCAAACACACAAGCTCTTGTTAAACTGGTGTTCTCCCCGCTCTTACAGCAGCAGATCAAAAGTAGAGAAAAATACAAAGCAGCCTTGGGAAAAATACGGGCCATAGTTACATTTACGGTATCAAACTGCCCATTCTCTGCACTTTATTTTGACAGGCCAAGTGATTTGCTCAGTTTAAAATTTTCCTGGTTTTATTTGTTGTTTCTCTTTGGCAGGAAGTCCGTCATCCAGCTAGACCTGGCTAACACCAAGAAAGCCCTGATTGTACCTGCTTTTGAGACCCTACGCTACCGCCTCTCCTTCCCCAAGTCAAAAGCAGAGCTGCTATCTATGTTGGACATGGGAACCCTCTTCACATTCAGGTAATGGAAAGTACTTTTTTTGAACCTGTGGTCATTATCTCTAAAGATTTTTTTTGGATGTTCTTGTGAATATTTGATTTTTCTCTCTTCCTCTCAGCTATCTAGCTCCATTAGGAAACCTATGAGAAATTTTTTTCCTTTTTCATAGAGAGGCAGTGAACAGAATCATATGTAGATGTATTCTATCAGTAAGCTCAGCATTTTATCTAGTATTATAGCCCTCTACTGAAGGACTTCAGTTGTTAAATTTAATTTGGTTTATTTTCATCATTTTTCACTGCGTTATGAAATCAAGCCCAACCATTACACTCGTGTGTGTAATTTGCTTTTTGGCTGCCAAACACTATCCAGATAGCTGTGTCCCTCATGTGACAAAAAAAAAAAAAAAACAATTTCTCTCTGCTCGTTGGTTCGCTTCCTTACTGACTTATTGGAAAATCAAATGTAGGCTTCTCATGTGCCCGTTTAAAATGTGAAACAGCTGCTTAAATAGCTAGATTTTCTCAATGCAGAGGTAAAAGTGTACTCTCACCCGAAGTTGAGAAGTGAAGAACACCTAAATTTGGAGCTCCTCTCTGAAGCAGACTCCTTTTGTGGCTGTGAACAAGTCACTTCTTTTATCTGCCAGACTCTTTGGTTTTAAAATGCAACTACCAGGGGTTAACTGTCTCCTGGGGGTGTGTGGTAAGGTCTGATTAGCAGCCATTTGTAAAGCATCGCAGTGATGGGAAGAGTACGGTATGGCCTGATGATGTTGCACAGAGAGGGAGCTTAGGAGTCCTGCGTTCTCTTCCCAGCTCCACTACTGCCCTGCTGGGAGGTGGTATGTGAATCAGTTCACTTTCTTACATCTTTCTCCATCTCTGAAACGCAGGTAACAATGCTCACCTCTCCTTTTTCAGTATTTTGAGATCTAGAGATAAAAACTATGAAAAAGCGAGGTATTACCCATGGCCGGTGGATCTCTGTGTCACCTCTCCCATCCTTCCCTTCTTTTAGAGCTTTCCTCACACTTCTTCCATTCCCTGTATCACACAGCTCTCTCGCTGCAGCAGCCACCCCTCCCTCATGTGGCTGCTTGCACATGTCATAGCAGACAGCCTGTGTGAGTTGGGAAAACACAATTCTGACAATACCTCTACCAGTGGCTGCCTTGAAACAGAAACTTGAGGTGACTGAGAGAAGCATGCCTCTCCCTCTGGAAAATTACTTATGTGCACTGATGGAACAAGTGCCTTTCACTCTCCCAACATTCTTTAACAGACAAAGATATACAAATTAACAAGAAACTTGTTGATAGAAAATAATTGTTTGTCCCATAGTTGACAGAAAGAATCCTTCCAGTGGAAAATAACACCCTCAGGATTTTCAGATGTTACATTCCACAGACAAGCAAATTTTCCGCTTACACAGCAGTGGCCTTCCACTACCGATTTCATCTTCAAGCTTTACAGCATGTTGGTGTGTAACATACACAGCCAGATTTGCAAATCCTTTCTCAAATCTCACACAGGCAGAAATGTCTAACATCAGCGGGAGTTTTGCCAGAGCAAGGTTAAATATGAATTGAAGGACATGCAGTCTGTAGCTGGTGTACATATTAACGTGGGACACATTTTACAAATGCTTCCCCGGTTTGCTTTGGCTCGTTTCATTACTCAAATCTATCAACAGCCACAAAACAGCTGTGATCAGGGCTGAGGATTTCCACCTCCACCTTCAAGGTGCTTTAATAACTCTGCAGTTCAAGGCTGAGCGGGTGGGAGTGAGCTGGGGAGGACTGCTGTGACAGTGATTGCTGAGGGCGCCTGCAGCATCCCGGTCCCTCACACCACATGGTAGATTACAATCTTTCCTCCACTGAAATTGCTTTTGTCACCTCTTTCCCAAATGGTGACCTTTTCTACCTCTGGGCAGCTAAGAAGTACAAAACAGCTCTCAATTACATCCCCCCCCAGTCGCCACCAGAAGAAAAAGGAAGACGTGTGAGTGTCTGCAGCTGGCATGGTGTGGAAACCCTCCGGGGAGGCAGGTTGCTCTGGGCCAGCTTGCTGGCTTCGTTTGCAGGTGCTGGCTGTGACCGTGTCTCGGGAGGATGTGCCTGCTCGGTGCGTGGGTAATAGCTGAGGAACCACAAACGTGCTGCCAACACAGCTTACAGGCGCAAGGGAAACCACAGCTGGTAGAAGACGCATCCTATTGAGGAAACATAACCAGCAACAACTGATTAACTAATTAACTGATTGCATCCACAATCCAACAAAATGTTTAAGCATCTGAGAACAGAACTGGGAACGTTTTTCTTTCACCAAATCATCTTTCTCACTGAAACAGGAAGCCCTGAGGGACAAGGCAGGGAGAAAAAACACTCTGAGAAGAATAATGACTTGATTAACTTTAGCAAAGATTACTATAGTTTCGAAATTTTATTTTAAATAAAAGCAACTGATAACGCAAGGAAGATGAAACACTTGATCCAGAGCAGGAGGGGATGTGTTTTCCAGTTGTTTTTCATGAACTATGGGAAAGAAACTCATGATCATTTTACGGAGACCGAATTATGTGGTTTGGATTTGTCAAAATTGCCACAGTATTGAAAAATATGTTGTTCACACTTTTTTCACAAAATTCTCCTGACAGTCAGTGAGATTAAGTGTGGCCTTAAAATTCAGTGTGTATTCAAATGTTGAGTGAGAAGGGCCTGAGCAGGAAAATTAGATTATTAATTTGTCCTGTGAGATGGAAGACCAATACAGGCAATGATCCACTTCTCACAACCGCATCACTAAGAGTAAATTCTCTTGGAAGTTACTCACTCTTTTATGGTAGCTTCCTCTATATGTACATCCATGTAATGGTGTCTTCATATCTTACTTTGCAGTACATTTCATGCAGTGATCAGCCATCAGCCAAGACCTAGCTCCAGCAGATTATATGTGTGTGTGTATGTGTATGTGTGTGTAATCTCACAATTCTTGTTTCCAATCTAATTATTCCTTTAGAAATAGTATGTGCACACCTCATTTGAGCATCCTGTACTTGTTCCCTTCTTTGTCCTCACCTTACCCATCCTTTTGTCTTCCTCTTTCCTCCACTCACTTCAGTCACTCTGAAGAGGCAAGTAGATCATCTCCGGTATTATTTGGTTTGGTGCAATCAGGTCTGTTCCTTCATTTCTGCTTTGTTTTGTCTCTCCAATCTCACTTCCGTATTTTCCCTTCATTGTCTCTTCCCAATTATTTGGTTTTTTACTACTGGTCACCTCTCTCAACTCTCACAGTATGTACATGAGCTGCTATAACTTCTTACACTGATATCTCAAAAAAAGAGAGGAAATAAATTGTTGGGTTTTTATAGTTAGTGTCCTGTTTCCCCCCCCTGTTTAAATCAGTGTCAGTCTGTTACTAGAACAACAGCAGCATTTGACTGCTTCTCTGCAGGAATCTCAATTAACCAAAGTTGGGTTAGGGCTTTAAAGATACAAATCACTTCATAAGTGTTTAGTAGTCATTATTATTATTATTATTATCATCATAATTGATTTCAAAATGCCAGAGGTGGGATTTTAGAAGATACAGCATCCTCCACAGTCTCATATCATTTTAAACACCACATTGTGATTGCATATTTTTTTCCAGTGTAGATAGCTGCCCATTAGTGACTGGGTAGGTTACCCACTCATTTCCAAAAGAGACCAAGAAAAGGGATAGGCTTTTTGGAGATGATTCCAAAGGTCATTAAGGATTGTAATCATCTTTGTGAATCTAGCACTGGTTTCTGATAATCTCTAGAGTATTAATTCACTGACAGTTTTTTTAATATAGAAGAGCTTTGTTTTTCCGGGTGCCCAAGCCAGACATCTGAAAGTGATGCAACCTGTTTACAGTTTAGAAATGCAGCCTTCAAAGGACAGTGCTTTACTTGGGGCCCCAGTGCTATCCTAATAATTCTGTCCTCCTGCACTGCCCCTGAACAAGGAGAGTCGGCAAAGCTGAACACCTGTTTTTCTTGCTACAAGCCATACAAATATACAGTCCAAGTGAAAACTCATAGGTTGTGATTTTACATCCCTGTTTTTAGCAATGGCTTGCAATGTTATGAGACTTTCTGGGGTTGAAACATTAACTCAGGTCCTAATACTGCAAATATTTAATGCTCGAATTCCTTCACTTTTAGCATGAGTCATCCCTGTGAATTCAATGTACCTTACAAACTGGCAGGATGTTTGTTTTGCCCCTTCTGTTACACATCTCAGAGCATTGTAATACAGATGGCCTGCAATGCCTCTGTTTCATTATTTAATCTATGAGTCTGCAGAAAGAGCCTGTCCCATTGATTTCTGGAAAGGTGTAAGAAGAGTAAGTGGGCGAAAGAGTCATAGACCCTGGCACTAATGGGGTGGATTCAAGCTATGCTTCACAGACACCTGCTGTGACCTAAACAAGATTAACAAAGTATTAAATGATCTTTTTCTGTAAATCAAATTGATTACCTTACTGAGAATCACATGGGTACTCCCCACAGTGTAAAAAGTACAGCAGAAAGCCTTTACGTAATATTTTACTTATTAATTTAATTATGCACTTTGGCTCCTGACATAGTAATAGCAGTAATTAATAAAACAGAACATCTATCCAGAGCTGCAGGTGTCTTTCTTAGAATTATAAAATTTCATATAAAGCAGATCATAAATATCACTGTAGCGTAGAAATATCTGATTTTAGGGACCTTATTTGTGCTATAGAATGTCGCACCGATTTCAGAGGACTGATACAACCACTTGGTCACTAGGAATGAGACACAGCACTTTGTAGTGCAGATAAACTGTCTGTGTACTTTGTTTCTCACATTAGCATTAGGTAGCGTTTTCATACTATCCTTCAGCAACTAGATGTGTTTAAGCATTGAGTGCATAGAGGCTCTGGGAAGCATGATGGAAATAGTCCTAGAAATTACATCCGATGCGTCCTGAAAATGCCGATGTGAACTGTCAGCTAACGTCCTTATTTTTAAGCGTCATCTAACAAGGAGCATTTTGTTGCCTGGCCAAGATGCGCTCTATCTAATTGCCTCCCCATGTTCGTGCCGTTTACGTCTGTTTAAGGTACCACGTCTGGACGAAAGGGCACGCGCCAACGAACTTTGCCAAGTGGCGAACAGCCACCACCCCCTACCGCGTTGAGTGGGAAGCAGACTTTGAGCCATACGTTGTTGTGAGGAAGGACTGCCCGGAGTATGACAGGCGGTTTGTTGGATTTGGCTGGAACAAAGTAGCTCACATCATGGAGCTGGATGCACAGGTAAGGAGGCGGCGCCTGCATATCTCACCCAGGGCTGGGCGGGAGGGTTGGTGAAATGATATCTGTGTTCTGTAGGAAGGCTTCAGGCTTTGCATCACCAAAGTGTTCATCTTGGCCTTACTGAGCACCTTAATGAGTGCTTCTTGAGTTGGGAACACTCAGTTTAGTCCTCATCAAACATTAAAAGAACTGAGCCTGAGTTAGTTTATTTGTTAGTGCTGAGAAAGGTGGTGTTTTGCAGTGGCACGATCCCCACAGTGCCCACCTCCTGCCTAGCAGTGTGCCCCAAGCATTGCAGCACTCCTCACCAGTCTTATCACCTTCTAGAGGATCTGTAGACCTAGCTGGGGGTTTTTCAGTTAAACAGAGGTTGGTGAGTCCCAAATGCTCATTTAGAATTCAGAAAAGCAATCTTAAATTGAATCCAAGGCAAGCATCTTCAATTTCTGGCCTGGATTTACAGTGCACCTCTGCAAAGCCAAGGGCTTTACATTGCCAAAGTCTCTGGCTGTGGAGCAGACTCTAGAGGATCCAGGTACTTGATCCTTGGGCTACCTGCCTCTTGGATCTGTGACTTGGGATGGAGCTGCTGGGCAGAATATGTAAGAATAAGGATGCTGTTTGCTTCAGAGTCCCAGACGGGCACTAGGGCTCTCGGATCTGCCAAGGTCCCTGCCACCAACCTGGATCCTAGAGGCTGGCAGTGACTGTGGCTGCGTGGGAGCCCGGTGCTGCCGCTCACTGAAATGTCAGGGTTTGCATCTCCCTGCTGTTCTTGGATGTGAAGCTGACTACTGTGCTAATCAGCAGGGGCTGGGTCATGGCATTTCTTTTTAGTTTGGGTTGGTTTGTTGTTGTTTTTTTTTTTTTTTTTTTTTCAGTTTTCAGATTTGAGTCCCAGTTTTTGACCTAGTAGCATTTCATGCTAACCAAAAAACATGGGGTTTGGCCGTCTGTGTCCTCCTATGTCAGCTTCTTCTATGTATCTGGAATATAAATCCTTCTGCTCAACTCTTACCAGTTTATGTGAAGCAGAGTGTCACAAGGCATGAAAAAAGTTACTGGGAGATTGTGTCTCTGGGGTGTGGGCTACTGTGTATTTGTGTGCAGGGACGTATATGGGAAGGAAATTTTCTAATTCTGCTTACAAAACCGCAGTCACCTTAGGCTGGCAGCCACTTGCCCTCTGCAGAAGGGCATTCCCAACAAATTTGTACCTACCTACGTTGAGAAAAAATTACAGACTAGAAAAAAAATTGTCCTTTATATTAACATTAGTAATAATATTTTGCTCTGCGATAGCACTTCAATTTTCCAGTGCACTTTGCAAACACTAATCAATTAACCATCAGTTGTGGTGAGCACCAGGATAATGATTTATTATTTGTTAATCTGTTAATCTGTTAATAAGGCTTATGTTTCCACTGGCAGCTCTCATCTAGCTCTTGTGATTTAACTCTTCTGTTCAGAGACATTTGCCCAGCATACAGATTCACACATTGGAAATTGGAACATTTTTCAAAGTCGATCGTAGTGCTGATATTTTAAATGGCCATTGGGTTGGAACTAACTCTGGGGAATTGTTTTTCTCACTCTTCCAGCCTTAAAAACATTCTCACATTGAAAATAAGTTTCATTTTCATCTGTAGAAACATGGGTATTGGCTTGTTCTCCCAGAAAATCAGCCTGGAGGGGATATGGGATTGCACAGCTACCTCCCCCTATGGCATTCCTCTGCTTCAGGGTGTCCACAGATCAGGTTGCTGCCAGCTGCTTGGCTGGCTTCATTATCAGCAGGCAGAGCAGCTTCTCAATTGAATTATTTCACTTCTTCTCACAACTACAGCGTCTGTCAAGAGAACTATTTCAGACTCCTTACCAAGGGCCTGTGCCACTACCGTCCTTCAGAGCAGCACACAGCGTGGAGATTATTGTCATTATTATTCTGGGGACATGCAGATGTCCACCGAGCTGGATGCTGTACAGATACATAGATAATGACAGTCTCCATCTAAAGAATTTATAATGTGTGAGGTAGGGACACAGGTTCCTGCAAATGCATTGCTTTCTCAACAGACATTTCCTTACAGTGGAGATGGGCCACTATGAAACCTTTCCCTGGCTCTTTCAGTGACTGTGGAAGCAGACTGTGAGCAATCTTTTTTTTCCAGAACCCCAGCCCAGCATCTTTCAAAGGGGCTTATTAGCAGCAGACTAGGAAGGTTTTGGAAGGATTTATGTGCCTGAAGGCCTTTTGGAGGGATGGGAGCACCACTCTGCTGAACAGTTTACATTGCAGAGCATAGATGGTCCTTGACCTTCAGGATTACAGACTTGAGATGCAAACAGAGAACAAAGAAAAGATTTTATGAGGAGGATGTATCTTCCTCTGCAGCTTCAGCCTTTAGTTTTAAGGTCCCATAGAGACATATTTTGTAGTTTGTGGTTTATCAGCTCTCCCCACCCCATCATGCCAGCCTTTCTTTTTACATTTGTTTCCCCATTAGTTCTAAGTGTCTTCTAGCTAAATGAGTTCTGCCTGTGAGCATCGAATTATTTCACTCTTGCTGTACATTTGTCACCCCAAACAGAAGCTCAGAGGGGCCCATTCTCATATATGACAGTAGTGTAATTTGGCACAAGGATTTACCACTTTAGCACTGTCTGGCAGGGAACAGGCATTCCCATAATGAGAAAGGAGCAGCCATACAGCTGCATCTGCACTTAACTGTCCAACACATATGGCTGTTTCATAGGTGTCTCTGGGACAGCACTGCAGCCTTAGCTGCTCTTTGGGCTGACCAATACCACTGCCTGAGTTGGGAACTGGAGCCACATTGTGTTTTGCTCACTTCTTTTCATTTTCTTTGGGCTTCATTTTGGGCTGTGTTGCTCAAACACTTGGTTTCTGGTAGTACCATAACACAGCAGCTTCGAGTCTTTTCCAGGCCGATCATACTATGTCGGGTCAGGAAAGATGTATAGGAGAAACACTCATGTTTATTAACACAAGTGTGTTCTCTCCCGTGAGTCTCTTTCCCTAACAAAATGGTTTTGGAAAATTCTGCCTCTGTGCTGCAGATGCACTGTGCCTCTGCACAGACTCCTCAATCTACCAGTGACTGGACTTTGCAAACCATTTCTTTTAAAGCCAGCATGCTCTGTGGCTGTTCCTTCCCTGCCCGCTGTCTTCTGCAGAGATGGTTAATGAGTCAATACAGCAACAATTGTAAACAGAAACTGTGTGAGGACGATGGGAAATTTGCCTGTGGAGTCTTTAAAGTTACTTTGTCATTTGCATCCCATGCAAGTCATATTTTTTGAAATTTCATGTGAAAAAAGAGGTAGTGTCCTAGTAGTTAGGGTACTTTACTTGGCTCCAGAATACTGTGGTTCACATCCCTTTTCTGCCCAGTTCCTTGCAGGAACAGATATCTGGTTCTTGCACACCCTACACTAGTGACATTCCAGCTTTTCTAAGAACCAGTCTTTGTCTAGCTTTTCTCTAATGAGCATATATTATATTTGTTCCATTTTTATAATTAAACAGGAGAAATTGAGACTTAAATGAACCATAATTTTTTGACAACAAAAATTGTCAAAGAGCTTGGTCAGATATAAATATAGAATTAGCGAAGTAGTTTTAGAGGAGAGGGGGAATTAGCACAATATCTCATACTTTGTGAAGGAGATTTTAATTTGTGTAAAACCTTCTCCAAGCATATGGAATTAGCAGGTTCATTTTCACACGTCGCCTATAAAAGATACCATATTCTCCCCTCATTTCAGGTTTATAAATAGTTTTGGACAGTTTTGTTGCAGTGAACATATATCTTAGTATACAGGCAAAGCAACTTATGTAGTGCAATGGGTGCCTTTGTAAATACAGCTTATTCCAGCATCCCGAGCAAGATAAATTGTAGGGGCAAAAGCATGCTTTTGCACGGACACTTGAGACTCTGCTGTGTGCAGTCGCAACTGTGTTGGTAGCAAGCATACTGCTGCAAAATCTGTGCTTCAGACATGGCTTCAGGCACGCCTTTTGTACTGTTTCCCCATCATTTGGCTCATATGGAGTAAAACGTTTTAACAGAGAAAGTAGATCTTTCACAAAACCAAGAAAAAAAGCAACTTTAAAAAAAAAAAAAAGAAGGCTTACTTGGCGTATCTGTATGGGTTTGTTGTTTTTGAGACCCAGGCTGCACTGACACATGATGGAGAATGTTTGACCGTGGAGTTGTGGGAGAGGTGCATTGCACGAGGGCTGGGGAACACCCTCACAGCTGGTGTCTTTCTCCCCCAGGAGTACGAGTTCACGGTGCTGCCCAACGCCTACATGATCCACATGCCGCATGCCCCCAGCTTCGACATCACCAAGTTTCGCTCCAACAAGCAATACCGCATCTGTCTCAAGACCCTGAAGGAGGAGTTCCAGCAGGATATGTCACGCCACTACGGCTTTGCAGCCCTCAAATATCTCACGGCAGAGAACAACAGCTAGCACAACGGAGCCCGTGTGTGGGAGACGGGGACACCGGAGGGAAGAGCCACTCAACGTTTGAGGCCCGGTCTTCAAACTTTGAACTGAGAAATACTTTCTGTTTTTATATCATACTCAGCAGTTCTAACAGTAGAAATTTGAAGTGACATGTCTTCGGACTATGCTCATTTGTCCCTTCCCCGACTACTCCAGGCCTTTCAGCTTTAGCATTCGTGAGGTGTCAGCAAGAGGGCCCGGCCACGTGCCCGCCACACCACCGGAGGTGGGGACTGGGCAGGGGCTGGGAATGCACTCTGGTCTCTTAACTGCAGAGAAAAGACAGAGAATATAGGATTTCATGTTGCTATTTAATAATTTGACATGCTTTTTATCTGTAAAGGAAGATCTTCGGGTCGCTGTCCTGTGAATTTCAAATCTGCACTACTCTGAAAGGGAACTTTCACCTGTGAACTTTCACAGGGGCCCTGTTAACGTGGATGACCTTGTTAATGCAGGATGAGCCAAAGGTCTGAATTAGCCTTGAAAACAAAGGGGACGCTTATACAATACTGCACTCCAGAGAAGGTGTGTTACTGGTTTAGGTGTATACATGATAACGGTTGGTCTTTTATTCTCAAATTAGTTGTTTTTATCAGGAAAATCCCTTATACCCCACCCTGCCTTTCCCTCAGTCCTAAATGCTGCTCCTTTCCTTGCCAAGGAAATGTCTCCCTTGTGTTTCTTTCCCATCTTCAGTTCTGGTGGTCCAGTGAAGAAGATCAGTAGCTCTGCCAGGAAGTGAACAAAACTTGTCAGTGTAAGTTCTGTTTTCACCAGAGCAACTTGTTTGTGTGTATCTCTTAAAATAAAGGGCGTGGCTGTAACTCTTTATCTTTTTTAGGCAAGAATTAGATTTTGCCTATAAGACACATTGTGCAGAGGGATATTGATTTGTAGGCTCATTTCAGTGCACGCCCATCCATGAAGGCATTGGGCCTTGGGCTTTAAGTGGACTTCTTTGCTGAACAGGGAATATAAATATGGCAACTAGTAGCCTTGGTGCTCTCCTGCTGCCTGCTGCAAGGTCTCAGAACTACTTCGTTAAAGAAGTTTATAATTAAAAGGAGCAGAACTGTTAGGAATAAACTCCCCATTCGAGGGGGAGAAAAAAATGTGTTGGGAATCTGAGTGTGAGTGTTTGATTGAACGTGAGCTGGTGCAGTTCACAACTTCGGTACACACAGGAGTATGCTGGAGGGCGGACAGGAAACCTAACAAGCAAAATGCAGAAAACAAGACACTGGACTTTTTACCATTTTCTTTATTCTTCAGTATTAATGTTGTGTTTACATGGGATGAAGAGATGAGGTTTAATGCACTACCCCTTGCAGGGCTATTTGTAATTTCTGTCGCAGTGTTAATAGAGAAAGCAGAAACAACTCAGTGAGAAATGCATCTGTCTCCCTACCCCAGATCCCCATACAACCACACGTACCAATACCACTGCCTGAGTTGGGAAATAGATCCACATTGAGTTCTGCTCACTTCTTTTTCATTTTGTTTTTCATCCACTGGACCTTCTACTTTCCTCCCCACCTCATCCCTCTAGAGCTTGGTTTTATTTCTAACCTGACATTTGATGAGAGTTTTCTGTTACGGTGGAAACCATGTGGTTAAACCAGACATTTAAACTACAAATATCAGTTCATCATGCTGTGTACATATCAGATAAGCCAAAAAAGGCAACATCTTTGAAAAGAAATAAAAAGGGGCGGGAGGCTACGTGTAATTTTTCACTTTTTCCCCTGAGAGTGTTGGCTGCGTAAGAATACATCACTGCATAATTTTCCAGAGTGTTGTCCTTCTATTCTTAATGTCTTTATGTCAAGATTTACATAAAAAGCTGGGAAGAGCTGGGAAGAAGTGAAATGAGTGCTCAGTCCTGGCTAAGATATATTCTTTTAAAAAACCCAAAATCTTAGCTCCCCAAGTCCCATATGCCTCACCATTAAGGGTCCAGGTCACTGTGCTTGTTGAGAATGAGAAGAACCCTGCAGCACAAAGTCCTGACGGTTAGCTAATGTGCAGAAAGGTAACGAAAACTGATCCTGAGAGAGCCTAACACTGGTTGTACCTACATACAATCTCCAGTCAGAGCTCCAGTGTGGCCACCGTTATGTTTCATATATATTAAAAACTTTCATTTCCAGATGTACATTTCTCCTTGTCTGGACAGAGTTGCCCAAGGACGGACTGGATTGCCCTGCAGCAGCATAACCTGTAGCACGGACCTGTACGTTGTTTGGATGTGCCATTATCAACATGAACATTATTCCCTCCTCAGTGGTCATGAGATGCGGATGGGGGAGCAGGGAGGTAATCCTTTGCTACTTGCCTGTCTGTACAGCGAGTCACAGGACCTCCTGGGTAGGCTCGGTTGTACTGGCTGGTGTAACCAGCTCAAAGACTGGTAGTAGGTTTGAAGAGCTCCCTTTTTTTCCCTTATTAGACACTGTACTGACTTGTATCTGTCACGTCGTGCTTGTCTGTGTGCTTCATAATTTTGGAGGTGTGGGGCCTGGGTTTTTTTAACATGTTTCAGCCAATTTACATGATCGCAACTTAGGATTATATGTCTGTCTGTAAGTGCCAGGGATCCTCCAACACCGTGAAGAAGCCACCACAGACAACGACAAAAATCCCCAACTCAGTTACAACACTGACTGTCTTCCAGTCCTCTGGTGTAGTAGGTATTTGCTAGCAACTTTGTTATTTAATTCTCAGTTTTCTCCTGAAATCTTCAAAAAATATCAGATAAACCTGATGACTTAATGCCTTTGATTTATTGATTTGTTCCACCAACTTCTCTCTTGAGTCTTCAGTCTCCTTATCTTTGTTATTTGGAAAGTGTGAGTCTCTCATTTAGATATCATTTCAGCACTCTCTCTGGTGAAGGCTGATGCAAATAAATCATTTCATTTAGATTCTTGGCAATGTCCTTATTGTCTTTAATTGTTTCTTCTACTTATTGTTTGGGGTGGCCTACCGGTTATCTCCATTTTTTCTGCTTTTTGGTGTACTGAGCAAATGTGTATTTTCAGTTTTAACTTCCTACTATTTCCTCTTCAGATTCCTTCTTAGCTTGCTCAAGCTCCATCTTAACTATTACATGCCTTCCTTTCAGCTTTATGAAGTTTTGATTTCCATTCTCTGAAGGTTTTCTATTTGATCTGAATAACTTCTAGATTTTCCAGTTTAGTCATAGCAGCATTTCTTTGTCCTTGTCTTCAGTTTATCTAAGGGGATACCATAATCCATGGATATTTATAAATCCTTATCATTTTTAATCTGAGGATTTCAGGTTTTTTTTTCTTTTTATTTAGGGACACTGATTCTTTCTCTAAAGGGAAAAGAGAGGTTTTGCTTTTAAATTTTTATATCAAGTATCACCCTACTATGTTTTGAGGTTTCGTATTTTCCTCTTTTAACCTTCCTAAATGCTAACCTTTTCCAAGTCAAGGGATCAGAAATATAATCTTATGAAATTCTTTTGTTCTTCTAATTTGGACTCTTGACACATTTTGTTCTGTGTCTCCCTTTTCCCTCTCCACTCCGAAATATTGACGCATACGAGTCGCTGCAAACTTTTCAGTCCCAGACCCTGAACTGTGTATTTCCCAGCATCTTCTAACATCCCAACACATTTCAGACATAATTATTATTCCAAATAATAATCTGTTGGCTGGCACCCGATCTTCCTATGTTTGTTTTCATGCTGCTCCCTTTGATACAACAGGCTTTGCAAGTTTAAGTTTTGAGCAAAGCATCTGCCTTTATTTAATGCCTTACTGTAACCCTCTAATAGGTTTCCATGATTTCTGTCTGTTGACACAGTATATACCTTCAAATATTTGGCTGTAGTTTACATCCTGTCATTTTCTGACCAAGTGTCATCTACCATTTGCCTACCTGTCAGACCTAGAAAATGTCTTTGTTTATCCCGAATAGTCCTTAGTATCTATCAGATTTTTTTTCCAAGTCCTGCCTTTAGTAATTCCTTCAAGCCTTGCTAGTTTCCTATGTGAGCAATCTGCTTCCACCTCATAATTAGTGATTTTTTTCTATTTGTAATCATTGTCTTGGACTCTGTGACAAAAAGGAATTAGCAGCTGTACCTGCAGTTCCATCGCTTTTGTTAGACTGAATATCACATATGCTCACATTATTCTTAAAGTACTGATTTTTTTTTTTTACCTGGAAGGCTTCATGTGGTTTGTATGGAAATCATAAACTGCATTTTCCTTTTACTGAAACAAGCAGGAGCACTTTGTAGTGTTATTTGCAGTAGCTGTTGCAGCAGAGTAAGCCCTGTGTTAGAGGGAAAAGCACAAAAACCTTGTGAGACTTGTAGCGACTGTTTCTCTCTGCAGGGGAAAATAAGGCCCAAGCACACCTGAGCAGTTTTATAAATGCCCTGCACAAAATACATTGCACATTGTTTTCTGGTAGGTATAAATCGTACATCGTCCAATTAAATATGAAAAATACATTTTTAATGTTCTCATTTTTACATGCAGTTCCATCTAGGAGATAATGCATTTCCTTCTGTATCTTGCCAGTTTCCCCCATTACTCCAGCCTGCCTAATAGCCCCATCTGTTTTTGGCTGAGAAAGATTAATGACCAGCAGCACTGGGAGTCCAGGCAAATCAGCAGAGATATTACTCTTAAGGCTTGCACAGGACATCCCTTCCTACTCTGCCAGCTACTGTACGGGTGTTCCTCGGGTTTCAGTGCAGCAACAGGAGAGCACAGCAAACTCGGCAAGTAGGGTGAGCATCATTATTTATGAACTTCAACAAGGTCTAATACATTAGATGGTGGGAGTGCTAAAAAAAGAATGTATCATTGTTGGCTCAAAAAATATTTCAGTTTTAGGAAAAGAAAGTGGCTAAGTTTCTACAGCTCCAGTAAGTGAGACTGGAACAAATAAGTCGCTAGTAGACAATGACAGCCAATAACCTAGTATTTCCACTGCAGTATTGAAAATGCAGGAGCTTTGATAGCTAAATGAAGTCATTTTTACAGTAGTAATTCATAATGTATATTTAGATGGTATGTTTACATCCAAACAGGTGAATTGGGGATGGTTTGAAAATTGTTACTTTGGTTCTCAATATAAAATTAAGACTGGAAAAGCTTCTGTCTGTGCACAGCAAATTATGGCTCAGGAAATGCTTACAGACCTGGATTTAGAAATACCTTGCTTTTATAGGAGTTTGTTTTCATCAGTAGTTATACATTCCCAAAATAAGACACAAAGTCCTTGAGAATTTCAAAAGGAGCTATGTACGTATCAGTTGGCAGGAACATTTTGCTCTTAACGACTGCTTGGGATTAGGGGTTTGTTTGCTCTGCAGAGTAGAATTGTTATGATCAGTTGAAAAAAATAATCTGGGAATTAGAAAGCCAGACAAATATTTATTTGTGTGATGGATCATATGACTTTATTTGTCAAGACATGTTAATGGGTACTGCAGTGGAAGCGTTAGCTCACTGAGGGTGTCAAGATGCAAAAGTTCTGAAACCCTGGCTAAGAGCTTAGTATCTTTTCAGCCATTCTGTGCATTATTTCCCCTCAAAGGATGAGAACAGCTGCCTCCCAGCTAATTACTGTTTATGTAGGGTTAAAATGTCCTAACCCTCTGGCAACATGGATTCATGGGCAGTCACTGTGCAGGCTGCATTTGAGCTCCATGGTCCATTGCCATGAGATTCAAGATTTCAATCCAAAAGAAGTAGTTCTGACCTGGGGGTAATTCTCCGATCAAGGGTACAGACACCACTCTTACAAATATATTCAAGAAGAGATCCCCAAACACTTGAGGACAGGTAATTCAAGCCAAGCTAGGCCTATTCCTCAGTATTATCACAACATAATTCTCAGACAATGATGTGTGAATTTTCAACATTAACCATTGTATCACAAGACTCCTGCTAAGGCTGCAAAGCAGTCGTGTGAAAGTTAGAGGGTCTGAAATTTCAAGTTGCTGGTGGAGCAGGTGATTTGCTCATACAACTTCTTTCTGTCCCCTGGCACATACATAATAGGGCATAGTCTACACAGTCATTCACTGGGTGGGGTTTAGAGGACTCCTCCTTTATTCTGTGCACAGAGTGGATGGTACTCAGGGAATGAAGCAGTGAGGTGAAACTTCTTTTTACTTTTGCTCTCATTGAGCTTTTCATAATATGCTAGCTGCCTTGATTCTGAGCAAAGCCAGATTTTTTTTCTTCTTTTCCAAAGGAGAGGTTTAAACTGCGATTTAAGAAAGTCAATTATCCCCCGTGCTCCCAGGCTTTCTGAGCAGAATGCCTGCAGTTCTGTTCTACAGGCTTTTCTTGTGTGGAGGGCTCCTGCGGAGCTGATGGAAATGACACACTCGGAGGCCTTGTAGCACTCGCCCCCAACTCATGAATGATAACTGAACATGCAAGAGTGATGAATCCCAGCTCTCTCCAAGCATGTCTGCTCCAGCTCTGGGAGCACTCTAAAGGCTATTGGCAATCTGCCGGGTAAACAGTGAAAAGATGGAGTAAATAATTGGGGCTGTCATGAGGGGTTTAGGTAGCCAAATTTCCAGAGGAATGAGGAAGGCAAAAGCTTCCTGAGGTCCCTCTGAAGATCTGTTCGTAGGATCTGTGGCTTGGACTAAGCTAATTCTGGATCTCCGGCATTTCTTATCCAACACTGGTCCATGTGGCTCACATGTAGTAAATTCTATAGGTTGTAAAATTCATGAAAGTCAGTGCTGAGATTAAACTATTCTCAGCTCAAAGACATTTAATTTGTTTAAATTCTTTGGATTCCCACATTGCTCCTTTGGTGCTCATAAGAAAAAGAACAAAAACAACAAAAAAAGAGATAATAGCAGCTTGCTAACAATAAGTCTGACTACCCAGCCTTTTTTAAATTGTCAGCACCGAGGTCAATGGTTGGGGCAAAGCTGGAGTTAGCGAAGTTCGTAGAATTTCTTCTTTTGATCTGCCTGTGGGTCTGATGTTCCAACGGTGCTCTCCAGTGATGCTATAAGGAAATGAAAAGCTATCCAATGCTGATTGATCCATGGACTCTTCATCCAGTCGGAACTAACCACAAGCAGCAGGAAGGAGGCTGCAGCACTGTCTGCTTTGAGTTTTTGTAGATGGGAATAGTGAGTTTAGTATGAAACCTATTATTCTGATGATAGACTTTGCTGAGCTTTTCTGCATTCTAGATGTATACTTGCCATGAGTGACAGAGGCCCCTTGGGGTTAGGAAGAGATGGGACTCACCAGTTTTCTGGTTCAGAATGAGAAGAAGAGATATGTGTATTTTCCCTCAACACCTTGCCCAGTGTTTACTAATTATATTAGCATCAATGAATCCAGCTAGCCTGAGGCTCAGTGTCCAGGCTGAGCAGTAGGCTTCTCCTGTCTGTGTTGATAAGAGGCCGGATAAACAAAATGATGGATGCTTTCTGTCCGTAACACCAATGAATATTGCCATACAAATTCAAATGGCTCAGGGAGGTTTTCCATCTTTTACCTTTCGCTGTTAGGGTTTATTCAAAGAACAGCAAAGGCAGTCCAAAAAAAAAACAGTGAAGTCTGTAAGGACCCACAAGGATGAACATTCACAGAGATTTATCAATGCAAAATATCCACCAACTTAACCTGCCAGCTTTTGTCATGAACACAGAGAATACAGGCACCATCGTCTTCTTTCTGATTACACTTCATAGAGCAAAACAAGTGCATGTTATAAAAACAACTCTCTGAATCAGATCACCCAAGACCCAAATATTTTATAATTTTTGTTGTTTTCATTTCCATTTTCATATGTGAAATAAACAGCTTGCAAAACTTTTTTATTTCCTTAAGCTGATACAGCTTTCTTCTGCATCAGTCAGACTTGCAAACATTACAGCATTGTCTGGGGTGAAGAATAGAACTGAGGGGTTGTTGAGATGTCCTCAGCACCCCTTTAGTGCAGAGAGAGCCTTTCCTGTAGTCAGGGCGATTTTTCTTTCCTTTGTGCTGTCACAGATTGTATTTCTATCCTAGCAGCATATCTTCCAATAAGTATGAAAGACTACTGTCTCGTGCTAGACCGCTGCATGAGTTCATTACTAAAGCAATGTTTCTGGCACGGCCTCCACACAAAGTTATTCTGCTGGGGTTTTTTCCAATCTTAATCTTCAAGCCTACACCTGAGAGAAAACTCAGCAATTTGAAGCTGTAAGGAAGTGATCACTATGCTTTGTTTTATTTTTAACATATTCTGTCCACTACACCTATATATCCTCCAGAAAAATATTGTTTTGAGAGGAAGAGTCATTGCAAGTAATTCAATGGGACAGAAATCAACAGCATTTATGAAGATAAGTAACCTATTCAAGCCATAAGTTTTAGCACGAGTTTCTGCAATTTACAAATGTGCTACTATTTCTGTAGGGCTCAATTTCAGGATCCTTCTTCAGCCAACCAGGTTTTCCACTTTTTTTTCACATTCCCATTCTGCTGCACCCCTACATCCATGTTTATACCTGCCTTAGGCAGATGTTGGCAGGTATTTGAAAGACAGTATATACAGTTTCCAAAGTGCTGAGGTCTGGTTATATCAATTACATTAAAAAAAAAAAAAAAATCTTTCCATTGCTGGCTCCCTTAAACCAGCAAGAACTCATTTAAAAAAAAAGAGAAAACCAAATATTTGGGTTGGTGGGGGAGAAGAGAGCAAGAGACTTAGGCCTTTAATACCTTTAATAACAAGATCAGGTTACTTAGGGCCTGACGCATTACTACAGGTTGGTAGCCATGCATAAGATGACAGCAGTGATTTTGTGTGACTCTGGAAGAAACAGTGACTTCAGAACACTTGACATAGATCGTTTGGTTGGAGGCCATAGGTTTCACTTTTCCTGTGCATTTGGATTGCCTTTCACAAAGCCATCTCCCAGTAGCACGGTTCCCAGAGGACAAGCGCTAACTAATATAAGAAGTGTATAAACACTCCCTTTCCTCCCACGCTCTATAGATCATGACGGCATCACTTACTCTGTTTCTCTACCCTACAGCAGAGGGGCCAAAGCATGAAGAAAGGTAGCACCGAAGTGATCTAAATACCAAATGTACCTTGCCATGCCAGAATTCCGAGGTTTTTGGGTGCACGGCTGGAAATGTTCAGGCCCAGATTCAGCCCATGCAACTTGGCAGCTGCCTGAGACCCACGGTGTTGGGGTTGGTTGCCTTAGTTTCCTCTGATAGTCAATGGGGTGGGTGAGCAGGATGTCTGCAAAGGGCACTTCTGTTTCCCTAAGCCCTCCATCACCCTTTGCTCTCCGACTAGCAGAAAAGTTCACAGTGCTTGTGGGCCCCACACAGGTGCCTCTGGTGTGCACCTGCCCGAAGTAACATGGTACAAATCTGGGCCAGTGAGCATCAGTTTTAGAGCTACCACCTACTCATTTAAGACTGCAGGTGTCAAAATCCCCGGGAAACTAAGCAGTGCTACAAGGCCATATACTCAATATTAGCTGACAAATTTGAAAACAGCAATCTATATGATGGAAAACGTGTGGGCGGCTCAGCCGTGGGAGGGGAGTGATTTGTGGACTCCAGAGACTGTGATACAGATTGTGACAGACAGCTTGTGCTAACAGCCAGGGAAGCACTTGTTTTCAGCACAAAGCTGTGGGTTTCATAACGGTGGTTAAAATATTATCCCCAGCATTGCTGGTCAAGGTGTGCAACATTCATGGCACTGTATTATCACTGTGCAGCTCTGCTGAGAGTAGGGGCAGCATTTGCAATGTGTCAGACAGCACTTTTACAAAAGTGCAGGTAAGAAATCGGTGAGAAACAAGGGGAAAAAACTCCAACAGCCTTTCATGTGTGTTTCTTCTTAAGACTCAAACCTCATTCCTTTTCTGTCACGACCAAGGTGGTTCTGCATTCTCCAGGGGAAAACTGGGATGTCGTGAATTTTAAGGTGAACCACGCATGAAACAAGGCTTGTGATTTCCTTGCAAGGCTTGTGTCACTGAAGGGTTTTGAATTTTCAGCTCACCACCCTGTCAGTACGTTACCTGACTGGCTGACCTTCCGCCTGAACTAATACTGAAATCTTTTGTTTCTCTCCCCAGGTTGGGGAAAGATCCTTAAGTAACATTTGAGAAAAGAAAAAAAAAAAAAAAAAAAACCAAACCAAAACGTGTCTTCTTTCCTTCTGCTGCCCCATCTCCCAAGCACCTCCCCCTCCAGGGTTAGACTGAGGCAACTTGCAGTTAACACAAACCACTTAGTTTACATGTATGCTTCAGTCCGTGTGTAAGTTTTCTAGGTGACAGTTTTATCAAGGAAAATGCTGTTTAGATTGTGTGTGCAAAATAAATGGCTTGTAAATATTAAAAAAAAAAAAAAAGGTTAATTTTCAGTTGTGCAATAAAATTGTGAAATAATTCTCTGAATTCCTTTCCAGTGTCTGACTTGACATGTGCTGGTTTCAGAAACATACAGGCTGTTGTTTCTTCAGATGGAAACAAAAAAAGAGAGGTCATGGGCTGTTTTGTTTTCATTTTAAGCTTTTTATTGCTTTTTAATTTTTGCATTGTCATTCCCTTTAATCTGGTTTATTCTTCCAACCCTGGTTCAATCAGACACATTAGTATCACTTTGTTCCCACTGAGGACAGGTGAGTCATTATCTACTCAGAGTTAATCATATGTTTATCTGCTTTACTTCACCTTGACTTTTTTCCTGCTGTTGTCCTTCAGTAATCAAAGATGAGAATTTGTCAGATGGGAGGAGTTCATTCAGCTTGTATTTAAGTATGACAACAAACAGATGGATACTCTATAATGAATGAACTCAACACCACCATGGAAGTAAATCCAGCTAACAGGTTAGTATTGCAAATAATTTATCTGTTAGGTGTGGATTTTCTATTATATAGGAGTCTTTTTCTTGATAATAGAAAAAAAAAAATCTATGCAAAAAACAGAAGCCTTTTCTTTTCATTAACCCTTGCTGATATGTTTCTCAGGTCCTCAGAGCTACAACTGCACCTCCCATGACCTCACTTACTGCTGGTACATCTTCTAGCACTAATAAGTAGAACCATAGGACTATAGCTCTCTCCCTTCCTCCTTCCTTTCTACTTGGTGGCCTGAGACTTCCCTGCAGAAATTCATTATGAAGAAAAGAGATGGGGCAAGAATAGGAAGACAGGTCAGCTGCATAATCCTTTGTGATATATTTTGGTTTGGTTTTGGGGTTTTTTTTTGGTTGGTTGGTTTTTGTTTGTTTGTTTGTTTGTTTTAACCACAATTCAAAATAGAGCCTACTATAAAAGTGTGTTTGCTGGGGATGGCAGCCCAGAATTTACATTTGTAGGTATATCGTGAAGAATAGGATGTCCCTGGATGTAGGGCATGGAGCCTCTCTCAAAGACTGAATAGAGTATTAACAAAAACTAGTGTAAATTAGCTGATTTGCTTGGGTTTTTTTCCAGAAGATTATAGAATCAAATGGATTTTGTGTGGTGTAAGGAGCAGGCTGGGAGTCCAACAAGAATTAGATCTTTGGATTCATTATTGGAAACATAAATACTTATAAAAGTATATATACATATAAATAAGTAGAATAAGAATCCACTGAAAAGGAAGATGAAGGGCTGGAAATGTACAAGTGGGAGTTCTATAAGCTGAATTCTGCAATCATTGGAAAAAGAAAACCTGCAGGTGTAACTCCCTTAAATGCCCTGACTTTGCAGCAAGGTAAAGGTGGCTTGCTCTGGGAAATGAATGATTGAGCAGGTGCAAGAAGTGAATGGCATTAACTGTGTAAATAGCAGCTGATTTTCAATAATCAGGCTCCCAGAAGGGATCCTCTGCCTATGCCATTTCCATATTACCCACAACCCTTCCTTCCCATCCACCTCTGACAAATCAGTAACAAAGAACAGAGCTTCCTTTAGGATTTATGGCAAATGCAGGACAGATGCAGTAGGGCAAATTAAAATGTGTTTACCCTGGGGTCAGTAGTTATGTTTCATCCAGAGGGGCAAGCTGAGCTCCCAAGACTGAAGTAGTGATGGGGCATTACCCACCTCTGTGCCAAGTCTTCTACAGACTCTGTGTGATTCCTGGTGGTCTTTGTGTAACCCCATTCACCCTTAAAATAAGAGTTAGCTAGTGACCAGATCATATGAAGGCAGGGGGGATGTGTGTGGTTGCTGCCTTGGAGAATGTCATGCAGCTCAAGAGACAGTCGTTAGTCAGGGCTGGGCGTGTCCATGAGAGTTCTGCCACAGATTTAGCCATTAAAATGGCATAAAAGAGGGTTATCTATTGCCCTAGTTTGCCACATGAGTTTCTTTCTCAGGTTTCCATACACCAAATCTGGCTACTATTTCTTCACTTTCCTATCACACAAAAGCATGTTCTAAAATTTCCCTCCTTTCTTCCCCTGCCCATGCTATACCTCAAGAATCACTCTTGCATGAGAGTAGTATGAATCACGTGCCCTATATGGACAGTGTAGCTGTAAGGTACCCAGTGCCTATGGGGAAAAGAAAAATCAAAATCTAATTCGTATGTCAAAATCTGGATTTCATAGCCCAGGCACTGGAAGATTCTGAAGACTTTAGTCTTGGTGATTTTGTATTTTAATATAAATTAAACTGTAGCATAGTCATAGCAAAGACAAAAAGGGGGTGGCAGTTGTACTAACCCAAATACTGCCTGTGGTGAAACCTGTAGCATCAACTGGTCACTAAATAGCCTTTGTATACCAGGATGAAAATAGCATTTTGCTGATATTTACCCTCCAGTTTAGCTCCAGAGCTGGCAATTTCAGGTGGTAAGTGGCAACAACCTCTCAGAGCTCTCATTTCTGACTTTTGCTAATACAGCATCTTCATTTATGTTGGATTCTGAATTTGAAGGTTAATTTTGCAATTATAAGTGCTGCACACATTTTTTTTTTTTTTTTTTAAAAAAAAAAAAAAAACAAAGCCAGTGTTTTGAAGTGGCCACCAGGGAGAATGATGAACAACTCTTAATAAGTTCAATTCATCCTCTGCTTCAGGGCATAACAACAGTTCTTCCAAGCAATTGTTCCTCTTTCCTGAACTGATTTGCAAGTGTGAGACATCCATATACTGTTGCCTTTCCTCTATTGTGCCCTTGGATTATTCTTTCACTTGAGGACTGCCGTGTATTTCTTGCTGAGAACAGCTCTTTCAGGCTGTTTTCAGGGAGCAGACCACCTGTTACCACCCTGCTAGTCTCAGCACTGCTCTTAGAGTCCTTGTCCCTTCTTCAGCTGATTAAAAATGTGTGCACATGTGTTGGGGGAACACATGTGCACACTCACATACCTGCTCCTTACTTGCTCAGCTTAAGCAATGTTTGCAGCAAGTGAGAAACCTTTATTTAGTTTTGTGGTAAAGAAATTGGGGAGATCTGTACTGCTGCTACATTTTACTGACGTGTTGTTTTGTAATATTCCAGGGGAAGTTTGTAAGTCAGGCTTGTGCATCATGATTATCTGGACAAACCATTAGGAAGCTTAAAGGAGCAGAGCAACATCCAGAGACTCACAGGCAAGCCCCTTAATCAGATTCCAAGCTCATCACAGATGTCTGTTAATTGCCCAGAATGTTGTTTGCCTTACATATTTGATAACACCACCTCAGTGAGTTTAATGTCCTGTAACTAATTCTTGAATTAATGTCATATTTCCCTAAATAGGGTACTTGCCTCCTGGCGCGCGTGAAACTTTAGTTTCGTGGACTTTAGGAGTTGTCCACATTAAGGCAGTTAAGGTTTTTTAGCAGCACTTGTCAGGCTGGACTGTGTGTCTCTATCTCAGGGGGTCGGGATGGGGATGTGTGGTGGTCTACTCTAAGAGCACTTAGACCTTAGTCACAACATGTTGTATATCAGCTGGGTCACAAGGCTGCAACATGTTTTACATGTCACATGTTTGTTTTTTCCCTTTAGTCAAAGGCTAGGGGGATCCTTTACGCTTCAGTCTTGCCAGCAATCTCTTGCTGAGAGATCCTATGCAGCTCAAGAAATTTTGTTCTTTGTGTCTCTTTGGGAATCACCTGGATGGTCCTATATGGACGTTTTCAATGGCTTCTGCAATGAAACACAGTTCTCAAAGGTTCAGCTAAAGGAAAACAGACATGAGGTGCTCGCTAGCATTATCAGTCAACTTGGTCCCAAAGTGACCTTAGTAGGAGAATAAGTATCACAGCTCAGAAGGCTGCCACCCTGCTTCATCAAACAGCAGAGACAACTTTCAGTGACCAGAAATGTCACTTCATAATGACAGGATTTATTTATTTACCTATTAAGATTTAAAAGCAACAAAAAAACAAACAAACAGGAAAAAAAAAAAAAAAAGAACACTGCCCATTCTCAAGCCTAAGGTAACATTATTCCTTGGAGCTCAGTTCTGGCTTTAGTGACACTGTCTTCAGCCTTTCTTCTCTTTGTATTTTTCCATTATGCAGTGGCTCTTCAGGTAGTGAGGCTGTGGGCTTTCATACGGGTAGGCTGGAAGCCTGCAAACCACAGGACATTTCAGGCATGGGGAGAACAACTGCCGTAGCAAATCCCTCCTTGCTCTCTATGTGCTACTGCCCGCACAGAGGGGATTTTTTCACATGCCTCTGAGGTGCTGCAGGCTGGCAGAGAGTGTGGGAAATCTCAGGTTATTTCAGTTGAGGCTCAGTGGTTTCCTTAGGGTAACTCAGAAGGGATGGAGCACAGGCACAAATCTGTGTCACTATATTCCCACGCAGTGAACCCATTAATGCAGCATCATCGTGCTTTTGCTTTCCAGCATAGCAGGGGTGTTTGGTACCGTACATTGAAGCGGTTCACGGATCAGAGCTTTCTTCTCTGACAGGGAGTCACCTTGCTATAGGAATGTCTGCCTGTGCATGGTATGGCTTAATTTTGTTGTGTTCCCCCTGCAGAGAGGATAAGTTTATTCTGAGCAGTAGAGAGAATCCACCAGCTCTGCTCATTCCAGTTAAGTGTGAGGCATAGGACCTTAATTTTAAATGTCCCTTAAAATAACAACAGGATGTTTAATTTTTAGCTGGAGCCTGTAAAAATCCTTCTGCTGCAGTGCTACACCTACTCCCCTCAGCTACAACAAAACACATCAGAGGCATGGCAGTTTATCTGCCCTCCCCAGCACAGTGAGGAGCAGTCACAGCCCTCTCCCCAAGCTGGGTGACTGCTTCCTTCACAGTTCTGGCTGTCAGGAAAGGCAGCAGCCATGAGCTGGGGCCACCTTTCAGTTCAGTGTCTTGAGTTGGGTGGTTATTTATTATACCCGAATCTTTGTGAAATGTTTGTTTCATGAGAAACAGATTTAAATTG